CGAAGAATTGTGTGTTCACAAGGAACAATGTGGGGTTTATTTGTTAAGCAATGAGCATGTTTTCCTACTTGGCTGTTTCGAGATACATTACCAGCTCAGTATGTCATTGACAGCATTTAAGGCACAGAACGTCCCACTGCTTAGTAAATAAGCACTAATTACCATGCATTTTTTAAGGGGGGATAGATGCTGAATTGCGGGTGTCGACGAGGGCAAGATAGGCCGTTTTTTCCAGATTCCCCCATTGTAGAGGACAGGTTCAGCTTGCTGAGACGGTCTTTAATCCTTTTATCTTCCTTCCACATTATTATCCGGCTGCTCCAATTTATTCAAAATATCCTCCATTTGGGAATTTGTGGAATTTTAAATGCTTGATGATAGGAGGAGGATAGAACGCACTGTAATTAGCAGGGAACTCCCAAAGCTTGTCTTATCTTAACAACTTGATACAAAACATTTGTGATCTGTCCCTCCTAGTTAGGAAGCACATGTTACGCTAACAGAGCTATTCACTAAACCGGGAGTTCTGGAGAATTGACAAGGGTAATGCAGAGTTTAAGCCAAACTGGTTGACCTGGAGAAATAGCTAAAGATTTATATTTTCCAAATTGGCTTTCTCGGCTCCTCATTGTCAGCTCTTCTCATTTCCCAACAAACTCCCGAACGACTGATAAAATCCTGTTTGAAACGTATTGCGCTGAATTCTGTCTTATAAACTGCGCTGTCCGTCTCCCAATGGTAAGCTTGGTTTATCTGTCAGCATTACTGTAACATTCAATCACTGGCAGAAATATATCCCCTGCGCTGTTGCGTATGTTGGCGCTACACAAATAATAATAATAATGAATAATAATACTCACATTATACATATCTAACCAACCATATTCACTGCCAACTAAACATAGCTCAGCCCTAATATCTTGTGTGCTGCCTAAATGTGCACTCTGTCTCTCTGTGTGTGCTGCCTGAACAGAACGTGCACTCAGTCTGTCTGTGTGTGCTGTCTGAACGTGCACTATGTCTGTGTGTGCTGCCTGAATGTGCATTCTGTCTCTCTGTGTGTGCTGCCTGAATGAAACGTGCACTGTCTGTCTGTGTGTGCTGCCTGAATGAAACGTGCACTGTCTGTCTGTGTGTGCTGCCTGAACGTGCACTGTCTGTCTGTGTGTGCTGCCTGAACGTGCGCTCTGTTTGTCAGTGTGTGCTGCCTGAAAGTGAGCTCTGTTTGTCTGTGTGTGCTGCCTGAACATGTGCTCTGTTTGTCTGTGTGTGCTGCCTGAACGTGCACTCTGTTTGACTGTGTGTGCTACCTGAACGTGCGCTCTGTTTGTCTGTGTGTGCTGCCTGAACGTCTGCTCTGTTTGTCTGTGTGTGCTGCCTGAACGTGCGCTCTGTTTGTCTGTGTGTGCTGCCTGAACATGCGCTCTGTTTGTCTGTGTGTGCTGCCTGAACGTGCGCTCTGTTTGTCTGTGTGTGCTGCCTGAACGTGCGATCGGTTTGTCTGTATACTGCTCTGTGCTGCCACCCCACCTCCTGATGGTGTCACCTGGTGCGGTCTGCAACCCCACCCCAAAGTGACACCACTGCCCCTTATTGCCCTCTGCAGCCTGTTAGAGCAGGGCCCTTACATTCTTCTATGCCATCACTATTTATTTATAATAAATACATGTTATTCACCCAAAAGTAACAATGCATGCCACCAGTGTATATATAGATATATGGCTGACAAACCAAGGTATCTGTCTGTCTGTCTGTCAGCCCCAGTAAAATAAATTAGATTATATCCCTCCTGCTCCCAGGTAAAAGAGCAGCAATGTGTTTCCCCCCTGCGATGAAAGGCTGCTAAGTCGCCTCTGTTAGAGGATCATTTCTAGCTCTTCTGCCAAGATTTCCAGAAGGCTCGGACATAGAACAACAATATTCAAAGCAATTAAACAAAGTGAAATATCTCAGCGTAACGAGCAGCCGCCCACTAACAGAGGGAATGTTAACTAGAAAGCTACAGGTTGCGTAGCCGACACAAAGCGTGGCACCCAACGTATAACCATAGCACTGCAGCCATTTCCCATGATCTTCAGCACCTTTACCAATGTTAACTATCACTGAGTTAGGTGTTAAAGTGACACTATCACATTATCATTGTATTCTTGTTTCTCTATAATTCCCCTTTTTTCTTAAAACATTCTTTATAAGGTGCGTGCATAGACCATGTACTTTGGCAAAACATGGTTTAGGGGGAAATCTAAGAAGCTTTGATTTGTTTAATCCCTTGTATAATCTGTACTTGGTGTAGGATTTTGGTTGGCACAGAGCAATTGATTGCCCAGTTATTTGCGGTTTTGCAGTCAATCTACCTGTTTTTTTTTATATTTATATATAAATGATCAGAATAAAGCTGTTTTCCTTTGTCAGTTACTCCACTGACCAGTCTGTAATGTAGTAGTGTTTCATTCCACGTGTTACCTGTTCAGGTATAATTCATTTCCAATAATCTAACGGTAAAGATACAGAAAGATCCCGGTGTCACACATGCAGCTCATACGAATTGTTTTGGGTACAACGTGGGTGAATATTGCTGAAGGGTAACATGCTGTTTAATTATCCCAGGGATTCCCTTCTTTTGTTGTTTCTTATGAATATTTGATAGTTGTCTGTGTGTCACCGATGTGACATCAGGTGCCTTTTGTTATGTATTCCCGTATTCCTGGAATTCCCTTCGCTAGTACAGTGTGTAAACCCAGACTCGCTAATCACGCACATGCTGGCTTAATTACAGTTACATTAACACAAGCCCAGTTTGGAGAGATTTCTAATTGTGCAGCAAATTGGGGAAAAAATAATGTTTTTGGTTACAAAAGGGCCATAAGCTTTCACCTTAGATCAGCAAGCATATAATACTCCGCAAAACGTATATTTATTTATTTATTTATAAAATATTTTACCAGGAAGGATACATTGAGATTTCTCTCATTTTCAACTATGTCCTGGGTCCACAAAACATTGCATCGTTACAATAGGATACAATATTACAAAAATACAATATATTATTATTATTATTTTATTATTTATATAGCGCCATCAGAGTCCGTAGTGCTGTACAATGTACAAACAGTATATATTATATATGCACATACACACATATATAAATTTAATAAATAAAAGGTAATAAATATATTCAACCATGACAGGTGCATTCTGTGCTGAGGTATACATAGCGGACTTTCCTGTTAGTAACCTGCAAAGCCACGTTTTAACAGCTGGTGCATAAGAGGGACACTATCGTCACCCAGACCATTTATCCCATTGAAGTGGTGTTGGTGGAGTGTCCCTGTTTGAGAGTAGCTGCAATGTTCACAGAGCAGAGTTAAGTCCACCTTTAGCGGTTGTCAGTATTACCGGGTAAATCTCGGTCACATGATGCGGAGGCCCCATAGAAAAGATTTGATTCAATGTTTTCCTACAGGGAAGTTTGAATTTGCCTGCGGCACTCACCACGCATACGCATTAGAGCCCCAGTGCTTCTCTAGGAAGATCATTGCATTGGAAGTGGCAGAGGAGGCACGTCACAGGAGGTGGAGAGATAATAACATAAAAAAGGTAAGTAAGGTAAGACAATCTTCATTTTTTAAAATTTTTATGGCAAGCCAGACCTGAAAAAGGGGCAGGGACACTAGAGCGTTATGAATACAGATTTAGTTTTCCTTTAATTAAACAAACCCGCAGTGTGATGGATTCCGCTCTGAACCTGCGTTTCTGCTGACAGTAAAATTAGCCCTCACATTCCAGACTTATATTAAGCGTCCTCCCTCGTTCAGGAGAGGCTGTAAAAGCAGTTTTTATAACTTCCTCCCACTTTATAAGGAATTCCTCCATTTATTGATCTGAATAAGTGAATGCGGAATCCGAGACATATTAAATAATCGCAGAATTCCCTCACCGGGCACAAGCTGCACGCATGTAATTTTTTAATCGACTGTATGATTTATCACTTACTAACAGCTTTTCATTTCTAATTTACCGGAGGATGCAAGTAAGTTCTTAAACCATCCGCTACTTACCTAGGAAGGTGCCAGCGCATTCCTTCCACCATAAGCACTGCAATAGGGTGTAATTGTGATAGTGCTGTGTGTGTTTCTTTAAAAAAATTCCTGAATGGAGGCAAAACGGAGTGCCTGTAAGACAATGATAATGTAACCTAAACAGCCGCTATAGCCGTGATACCAACACGACACGTGATGTATAGACCCACCACGGAAACAATTTCCGGAATCAACATAAAAAGATACAAAGCCAAAGTAAAAACCACGACACCTCGAAAACACTCAGGAGCAACTCGAGAGGAAAAGACAGGCTGTTGTGGCGTCTCCATCATGGAACATTTATGGGTGCACATGGTTTGTTCACCGCCATGCTGGCTGGTAATGCCATGAAAACATGGTGGCAGCGGGTAACCAGGTTGGCAGATGCGGGCGGATGGATAGACAAAGATTTGCAGACAATAGATGGGACAGTGTTAAGGGGATATTCCTGGCACTATAGCTCCTTCTGCCTACCTCTCCCTCGTGCCCCCCTCCCCAGGTAAATAAAAGGTTTAAAACACTTTATTTACTTACCTTATCTGAACACCAATTAGCTGAAGTGGTTTGGTTGCCTTATTGTCCCTTTAAGATGCAGCATTGAGGGTGGATAGACATGTTAAACCTGAATTAAAGCTCTATAATGAGGATTTGGCCGGTGATAACTTTGGTGATAGCGTGAAAGCCCTGTGAAATCAGCTCAGGGGTTAAAGAACCTCGAATAAGCTTCTCTAAAGAGCAAATTGTTCAAAGCAGATTTCATGTACATTGAGGATGAAACAGCATTTACTGAACTACTGTATATTAAATGATATTAAACTGTCCGCACAAACATCAAAGATGTGACTAATTTTTATATGTAATCGATAAAGGGGGATGCTAACCAGACTCTGCAAAAATTTCGTAAAAATTTTAAACTGTTTCATGAGCAACGAGAAAAAACACTGTCCAACTACTACTGCTCAGATAGCAACACGGAGCATTCACTGTCCAACTAACACTTTACCAGACATTACTATCCACCTCCACTATCATCAACTGCCAGATAGCAACATGGAGCTACTGTCCAACTACTACAGCCCAGATAGCAACATGGAGCTACTGTCCAACTACTACAGCCCAGGCCCAGTGTCATCAACTGCCAGATAGCAACATGGAGCTACTGTCCAACTGTCACTTTACCAGACATTACTATCCACCTCCGCTACCATCTGCTGCCAGATAGCAACACGGAGCTACTGTCCAACTAACACTTTACCAGACATTACTATCCACCTCTGCTACCATCTACTGCCAGATAGCAACACAGAGCCTCCACTGTCCAACTAACACTCTACCAACCACTACCATCCACCTCCACTATCATCAACTACCAGATAGCAACACGGAGCCTTCACTGTCCAACTGTCACTTTACCAGCTATTACTATCCACCTCCACCATCTTCAACTGCCAGGAATAGGTACGGAGCCTCCATTGTCTAACTGTCACTTTACCAGCCACTACTATCCACTATCATCAACTGCCAGATAGCAACACAGAGCCTTCACTGTCCAACTGTCACTTTACCAGCCACTACTATCCACCTCTGCTATCATCAACTGCCAGGTAGCAATACGGAGCCTTCACTGGCCAACTGACACTTTACCAGCCACTACTATCCACCTCCACTACCATCAACTGCCAGGTAGCAACACAGAGCCTCCACTGTCCAACTAACACTTTACCAACCACTACTATCCACCTCCATCATCATCAACTGCCAGATAGCAACACAGAGCCTCCACTGTCCAACTAACACTTTACCAACCACTACTATCCACCTCTGCTATCAACTGCCAGGTAGCAATACGGAGCCTCCACTGTCCAACTGACACTTTACCAACCACTACTATCCACCTCCACTACCATCAACTGCCAGGTAGCAACACAGAGCCTCCACTGTCCAACTAACACTTTACCAGCCACTACTATCCACCTCCACCATCATCAACTGCCAGATAGCAACACAGAGCCTCCACTGTCCAACAGTCACTTTACCAGCCACTACTATCCACCTCTGCTATCAACTGCCAGGTGGCAATACGGAGCCTTCACTGTCCAACTGACACTTTACCAGCCACTACTATCCACCTCCATCATCTTCAACTGCCAGGTAGCAGCAAGGATAGTAACAAATAAATATTTAATAAATTACCTGTGGCAAAACTAGCCACCTATTCATATGCAAGACTGAGTTCGTTCGACAATTTGGGGTTCCCGAATAAACTAAAGGCATATTGTTCGTCAGTCGAACCAACTACCGAACAGTGAGACCACCCAAGGGAGTCGTGTGCCTCCAATTGACGGGGTGGCCATCGTTTGTATGACCAAACAGGTGGCGGCAGCCATCTTAGTTCACGAACAGACAGCGGTGTTTGGTCGCTGAGTGCATGGAATTAGAATCGGACACTCGATGTCGCCAACACCGCTGAACTTCCATCAATTCGTATGTTCGTTCCCCTTCACGAATCCAGAGCGGCATTCGTAGGAAAAACACTACCAACAATAGGGCACACAAGCTCCCTGTTACACGAACAGTTTCATTCGTCATTTTAAAGTTATATACTCCTGAAAGAAGACTGGTCTAAACCTAAAACCATCTGGAACTATTTTGGGGTTTCACCTCGTGGTTGACCGGTCTAAACTTCACTCGAATGACGTTCCTATTCTACCGAACTGATCTGAGTGATATTTCGACAGAGTGGGCGCTCAGATCACTGCTATTCGTAGAGTTCTGACTAATATTAATGTATGTTATGCTTGTTTGAAATATTGCATATTTTCTGTACTTGGAAGAAAATGTAATTAAAGAGTTGTCCTTACTCAATTATCTCCCAGGTACAGAGGAGGAGTCTTGGAAATGTTGCCTTGTCCCCTGTCCCCAACAAGGTCCACCGGGGAAAACCCCTGGAATGTAATTAAAGAAACCCTTTGCATGGGGAGTTGCATAAAAGCCAGCTGTGACTGAATAAAAATCAGTTGACTGCCAAAACTGTGTATCGTCCGTTTATTGGGGAATTGGGATTGTATTTGTAAACTAAGCTTCACTTGGATGTTCTACAAGTCTACCAGAGGAGATATTTATTTTAATATTACAGCTCCGCTACATTACCATTAAATAGGCAAATTAGAAAACTGATGGCCAAAGATGGCCCTTATCCCTTCACTTCCAAAACCCTGTACACACGTAAGGCCTCACTTGCCTTCGTTAACCCTCCAGAAATGAGTATCAGCTTGTAAAGAAACACACGTCTCTGTCAGGATCTCATTCCACCCTTTTAATGTCTGCAAACAATGAGGCCCCAGGGAGAGTGCGCAGCTTAGCGGACAGAGGCACATGTATGAGTGTGGGATGGATGATGCATGATTGGCTATATGCTACATGTATGAGTGTGGGATGGATGATGCATGATTGGCTATATTCTACATGTATGAGTGTGGGATGGATGATGCATGATTGGCTATATGCTACATGTGGGAGTGTGAGGAAGTGGGTGGTGACAGATCAGACTGACCTCAGTGCCACTTAGGAGCCGGGCCAGCAACAAGTTTCCCACCCACCCTCCCTTTGCTGCTTTGGGCCCGGGTGGTTGTCACAGTGAGGCGAGGGCATGTCCTTGCCAAATAAGTGATGGTAGATTAGATGAAAAGGGGGATAATGGCCAGGTCTCATCCTCCCCCTGTCTCTTATGGTGAACCTGGAGGAGGTACCAGGTTGGACGTGTCCCCACTGGGTTGTAAGTCGACCAGTGGGGAGCATTATGGTTGGGCCCCACTGAGCGGAAAACCGGCTGGTGGGGAGCCCTGAAAAGGAAGAGGTTTTATTATGCCGAGGGGGGGAGGTGAGAGCCTTGGGGAAGTTAGATTGGCAAGGACGGTTTCTTGATTACTGTATAAAAAGTGTTTATGTTAATTTATTATGTTATATGTTAAAGGAGTTATACAGTATTTGGTGATGTTAATAAATGCTGTGGCCTGTTTTCCCAAGAAGTTGTCTGTCGTTATTTGAAGGGGTAAGTTATGGTTTTTTATGGGGGGATGAGGGGAATGCTATCCAATGCCCACTACGTACATACATGAAAACGATGACCCACTCCCCCTTCTAAACAGTGAAGGGAACTCCATGACCACATCATTCCTATATGGGTAGGGACAGTGAATAATGTCCCTCATTTACTTCTTCGCATTACATTAGCAGATATCAAGGAAGAATACTTTAAAATGTTTTAAATACTTTCATTTTAGAAACATGTGATGTAACTATTTACTGTATGCAATGCAAACATGTTTTATTTTACATTCCTTTGCCATTTTCAGTAAGCTGTACTGTTAGGAGTGCCTTACAAATATTTATAACCAGGGTATTTTAAAGGCAAACTTGTTTTCCTGGCACTATAGCTTCCCCCTCTTTCAAGGCCTTCCCTCCATGGTGCAGAAGGGGTTAATAACGTCAGCCAGCTGGGGAGACCTAATGCGCATGTGCCCCAATAACCACGCTCGCTTTAGGATTTCCCCATAGAAAAGCATTATTTAATGATTTCTTATGGGGATTCTGGTGACGCGGGAAGTCCTCATGCAAAGCATGTCTCCTATCCACCCGGAAGTCCCTCTAGTGGTTGTCTGGTAGAGGAGGAGTTAACCCTCACAGGTAATTATTGCCATTTATTAAAATGGCAATAATTACATGCTCAGGATTAAGGGTGATGGGAGTTGGCATCCAGACCTCTTCAATGAGCTGAAGTGGTCTGGGTGCCTACAGCGTCCCTTTAACATTTGGATGTATTTATTGTTATCACTCACCCCCACTGTATGTGTGACTTGTATTTTTGGTTGTATATTAATATTTCAGACCCTGTGTGAAATATTGCAAGATAAGGTATACCGGCTAAAACTTTTTATTTCCCCAATATTTCTATAAAGGATGAAGAAATAAAAGTAAAAATTGAGCAAACTTGCATAATTTTATTTTTGTGTGTCTGTGAACAACAACATAAAAACAAAACTGCTAACAATGAGTTAGAATGAATTTTTAATATCTAATAACGTAAACTTAACTTTAAAAAAAGTTATTATTGAGAATCGTGGGGGAGGCACAAGTTAAATGTATGTTTACTCATATTATCAGATCAAATCAGCAGCTGCAGGATAGCAATGAAATATTACAAAAGCATTGCAGGAAACATTGGCAGACGCAGAACAAATGCTAAGACAATTAAAGGGACACTACAAGCACCTGGGGCAGTTTATGTGTGGAAGTGGATTATGTGTGAAGAATGTGTCTGCTTTTCTCATTTTACGTAAACTGTAGATTTCAATAGAAATTGGCATTTTTATAAATTAATCTGGTCACACCCCCCTGGCTGTCAATCAGACACCCGGTCCAGTTTCTGGTTTGTTTAACTCAGTGGCAGCAATTGCACAGAGCACCTGTCTTGTACAGAAATCTGATTGAGCTGCATTGGAAACGTGTGTGATTGGACAGACACAGAAAGTCTGGGCGGGGTTAGAAGGGGAGGGCTTATAAAGGCTGCAGACAAGAGATCTGCAGGTTTTGAAGCTGTTGTTAGATATAACCCCAATGAAAAAAATCCAGAATTAAATGCATGTATGGTTTTATTGCTTTCATTAGAGGGTATGTCCAGTAAATGCTGATAATTTATTGTTTTGTATTTGTTAATGGAGTGTCCCATTATACCTTTAAAATGAAAATGTCAGCTCTCTGGAAGTCGTCCTCGTATCTTCAGTGCAGTAATCGAGATTGATGTTTTTGGCGTCATGGCATCCAGGACGACTCCATTGTCTAGCTGCTCCATGTGTACTGTATTAGCCCATGCGCACTCAGACAGTACGCATTCTGCCGCAGCTTGTATGGCACTGTGTGGGTTAAAGTCATAATCTTGCAGGAGAGACTTTGTATTTAGCGTTTAGCTAAGGTAATGCAGTTGTACAGGGCGTTACTTCTTCATAGAAGGAATTAGGATAAATTGAGGACTTAACAGTTAAATGGTTTAATTGAAGACAAAGGCAAGATTTTGTGTTTCTGGAACAAAGGTAAGCTTTATAGATAAATATATAAACATAATATCATAGATACCCTATGAGATACCAATCACAAAAGAACGGATGAGGCTCTCAATGTGTATATGTCTTTTATCTTCTCAAATAAAATGAACCTTAGAAGCTTGCGCTCTAATCAGGGCTCAAAGCTTCCACTTTCCACTAGCCACTGGCGAGTGAAAACACAGGCCTGTTGCGTAGAAATTCACTTAGGTTTGAAGTGGCAAGTAACTTTTGCATCTGGCTAGAAGCATGGTACTTGACATTTTGAGCCCTGATCTATTCATATTCAATTATTAACAAAAATAGCAGTTATTGTAAAATGAGAATTTAGCTTCAAATTGTAAAAGCCTCAGATTTGATCCAGAATTGCAATTAGGAGGCACGCTCTGTGATTAACCCATAATGTGCGGGTCTGCTTTGGAACAATTTGGTTTCTTCTAAAAAATTAGCAGAAAATGTTGAAATCATCGGATACAGTTAATCGGAAGTGTATTACATAACTTAGTCGATTTCACGAACATTGTAATTGAAAAGATTACCCAGATTATATATATAAATTTGTTTCTTATTGAATTATTTAACTTCTGTTTCTGTTAACTCCAATTGGAGTAAAGTGTAGATATCGATCTTCTCCCATGTGCGCAGTAAGATCACATAGGCATAATTTGGTCATAGTATCAGAAGATGCTTCATCCAATCCGCTCTCGTGATGATGGCTATTGGCCAATGGCTGGACGTGTCTCGTAGTTCCAAATATGGCAAAGTAAGTTTACGATATAGTTTGATTTAGTATGAGGTGAAGCCGAGAGTGATCTCAAAGTTCCAGTTGCGTTCAGAGGAAATGATATAACCTTCCTTCATTATTATTCTGCTCATTGTCCCTCGTATGTTTAATCTTTAAACTACATTCGGAGATGAACAATGGGACTGACGCCCTATGATTCACAGGTTCCCAATCAGCTCTCTGACAAATTATTAGCAGGCTCCGACAATAGGGGGAAAATAAACTCACACGTGTAACCGTACATCTCCCACGTGTGAATGACTAACAGATCGTCAGACGTATGAAGTGGACTCTGCAACGATTTGGGGTATGTTCACTAAATCGCCCACTGTCTGTGCTGACCTGACAAACGTCTCGAAAATATTTGGACAAAACAGACAGACGAGTTTCCAAGTGGCTAAAGCGTAAATAAACACGTTTATTAGGGTATGGTGAATTAACCCATTCATTACCAAGCTAGTTAAAAGATTTCTTTAAACGCGGGTGTGAACGGAGTGTAGAGAAAAGGGAAGGGAAAATAGAGCTTGTTGCAACATATTGTTCTGTTCCTGAACGTCTGACTTGTGTTGTTGCAACTACTTGTTTGTTACTTGATCTGTTGTACAGCGCTGTGGAATGTGTTGGCATTTTATAAATAATAATACGCTTTATTCTTTTCAGATATTGGGTTGGGAGTTCGGGGGTTAATTAATTCTCCTAAAATCTCACTTTAGCGAGTAAACCCCTGATGACGAGGGATAGCTAGACAGTAAACATGCAGACAGTATAAATCCATCGTCAGTCCTGGCTGCCTGCTCACGGATGGCAGGTGTTCATGTGAAAGGCTATTGTGAAGCTAAATAAAGAGGCTTTGGGACGTCTGTCTTCATGTTGGGAATCGGAGGAGTAACGCATTCTCTGGCGCAGTTATTATGTGAGGGGCTCCATAAATACAGTGACTCAATAAACGCAAACACAGAGTCTGGCCATCACTAAACCAAAAAAAAGCACAAATCCACTCAAAGCGACCACAGGGCTGCTCTATGGTAGATGAATATTCACATCTATAAATTATCTATAAATTATTATAGGCCTCGTCGTCCTTCAGGGTTATTCTGTGAGATGCACATTGTCATCGTGAATTCAATGTGAGTTCCACATTTTAGTCCCATACAGTTGAACTGAAAACATAACTGAATTTGAAATGGATTTTGATCTCCTGGGATTCACACTTCCATTGTATTGATTAATGCTGCACAGAAGTGACATATAATTATTATGATAAAAAAGTGATGGTTATACCGCCTGCTGGGCTTTGTCCAGTTTATCTCGCACACTGGGATTTCCCCGTCATCACAACGTTCACAAACTGGAAACGCAAAGCGTGAACCCTATACGGAGGACACATCTGATTCCGATCTATGGAAAGATGGAAAACGCTCTCCACTTCAAACGGAGCAGCCCTCCGCATCCACTCATTATTTATTCATCAGACAATTAGCTTAATTGCACATAACTCGTTTGATCTGTAGCTCCTATTGATTTGTATTATACGACGAGCGAAAGGCTGTATATAGCTTTACTGCAGTCTGCCAGAAATATCTCTCTCTACGGTTAGATGATGTCCTGTCCCAGTAATACCCTCCACGTATATCAGTAACAAGTCCGTTTATCCAGTATCAGAACCCGCTACGGTTAGATGATGTCCTGTCCCAGTAATACCCTCCACGTATATAAGTAACGAGTCCGTTTATCCGGTATCAGAACCCGCTACGGTTAGATGATGTCCTGTCCCAGTAATACCCTCCACGTATATAAGTAACGAGTCCGTTTATCCAGTATCAGAACCCGCTACGGTTAGATGATGTCCTGTCCCAGTAATACCCTCCACGTATATCAGTAACAAGTCCGTTTATCCAGTATCAGAACCCGCTACGGTTAGATGATGTCCTGTCCCAGTAATACTCTCCACGTATATCAGTAACAAGTCCGTTTATCCAGTATCAGAACCCGCTACGGTTAGATGATGTCCTGTCCCAGTAATACCCTCCACGTATATAAGTAACGAGTCCGTTTATCCGGTATCAGAACCCGCTACGGTTAGATGA